ACAGCATATCCCGCCACTTTAACCCCTTCATGTATAAAGGAGCTACCATCTGAGAACCAGACGAGGTCCGAGGGCAGGGGTCCCTCAGAAATGGTGGTAGGGCAGGGTTGCCGAAGTCCAGCTGGGCAAAGTAACTGAGAGGTGACAAGCAACTGTGAAGGTTAAAGCAGGAACTGCTTTATTGCAGAACAGCAGTGGTATATATATCTTACTGATTTACATAAAGCATGATTCAATCAGCATCATCCAATCATAGCATGGCTCTCCTACAGATACAGCAATCAGCCAATAAGGAGTCCCCACAATCTTGATGTCTCGGAGGCATTGCCTCACAAACCACTCCTCCTGGCAAACTGCCAGGTGCCATCTTGACTTGGTTGTGGCCTCCAACATCTCCCCCTTTTTGTTTTATTAAACAACAAGTATGTGGTTTAGGGACCATGCCTGTCTTAGGTAGTCCAATACTACATATGGTCCTTACCCCTCAAATTGTCAGCCTCCTGGCTTAGGTTGCTACCATTGTAATTGGATCTTGCCTGTCTTTGACTACTGGCCCAACATATTTAGCCATACTTGTGGATCTGTGTAATCTACACAAACACCATAAACAACCTGCCACAAGCAGAAGGAGGAGAATACAAAATGCCACAATTCCAAGCCATTGGCGGCTCCAAGTGAGAAGCCCTTGGAAAAATTGTACCACCGATGACACCGTCAGCAAAGATATCCTGATACTATTAAGAGTTACAATTTGTTGTCTCAATAGATTAGTTAATTTTGAAACTTTACATTCCATGTGCCATTAAGCATGGCTCCTAGTTGTCTGGAAAGATTTGCTGTTCAAGAAATATCATAATGCATAGAAGTGATACACAGTCCAGGTAAGTTCTGTAAGCAGCTTAAAGCAGAGGAATCCATTAATATGTCTATTCCTTCTTGAAGTAAATTGACTCTTTGGTTGAGCATCAGAATTCCATTTCTAAGATGATCATTAATAATGTTTTGTGTTTGTAAAGCTTGTGCTACTTGTTGAGTTACATTATTTATTGATGCAGCAGTTTATACAGTTTGTGTGATAGCTATTGCAGAAGCTGCAGCAGCATCAGCAGAAACAGCAACAGCTGTGATGATGGTAGCTGTAATTCCAAAGTCTCATTTGGTTTTCAGTAATACTGGAAATTCTTCTATTTTTGTCTTCACTGGCACTGGGATGAAGGTAGGAATTCTGGCAATGATGGCTAAAGAAAACTGTGTGATATTCCAGCAGGCACTAAGAAAACAATTTTCTGAACAATTTAGTACATTATCCTGAACAGAATTATTAAATATAATGAAAAGGAAAGGTGAAAGTAAACAAACAGGAGTAGGTTTGAAATCTATATATTTAGTCTCATTTATTTGTACATTGGTCTCAAACGTAGTACCTAGTATTATAATTGTAAGACCCATTAAACATCGATCCTCCTTTTATAAATCCTACAGGTGAAAATTTGTCATGTAAACTGGGTATTATTAATAACTGTGATATTCTATCTCCTGGTGAAATTACTGAGATATCCCTTGGAGAACTGGCTATAATTTTTATCTCACCTTCATAATCGGGATCAATTACCCCAGGACTTATCATAAGTCCTTTTAGAGTAAAAGAACTGCGTCCTAATAATAAGCCTACTGTTCCTTGGGAAAGAGGTCCTTTTACCCCTGTGGGAATGATTTGAACTCCCATCTCTGAGTTAGTACTGCTCCAGCAGAGGTGCAGATGTCCAGTCCTGTGTTCCCTCTGCTTTGTCTGATAAGGGAGTTAACGGATAATGTGTCCTGGGCACTACCCTGATGGTGTTGCTTGGGTTCCTTCAATGCCCCATATATTTGTAGTTGTGGGCCCCGGGGCATTGGGCCCCCCTGTCCGTTTTTTGGCAATGGAGTACCCTCTACAGTAGTCTGAGAATGGCATTCACTAGCCCAATGTTTTCCTCTACGACATCATGGGCAAACACCTGGTATTTTTCTTTTTTGATCATCCCCAGTTTTGTTACTTGTTTTAAACCCTCCTCCTATGGGGCAACTCCTTTTAAATGTCCTGCTTGACCACAATTATAACATGTTTTTGGCCTAGCACCTAAAGCCTGTTGTACTCCTTGGGTTACTGCAGCTGCCAAGACTTGCCCCTGTACCACTGGTTCATTAATATCTCTGCACAATTTAATGTATGCATTTAAATCTTTGTTTCCAAGGTCAAGTAGCCTCCCTACACCATCTATTGGCTTGTATATAAGCTAGTTGTTTTATTAATGGCATCCCTTATTCTACATCCCCAAAGACTCTGCTTGCTGTTTGCATAAGCCTATCCACAAACTCAGCGTAAGGTTCATTGGCTCCTTGTATTACCTTAGATAGCTGACCTTGTAAACCCCCTTGTCCTTGTAGGGTTTTCCATGCTTTAACCACAGCTGAAGTGATTTGTAAGTATATGGCAGGATCATATCCAGCTTGTTGCTGCTGACCCTCATAAGGTCCCTCTCCTAGCAACATATCTAGATTTCTCTGAGGATAACCAGCTGCTGCATTTCACTTAGCCGTCTCCACACACAATTCCTGATTAGTAACTTTCCATAACAGATATTGTCTTCCATTTAGCACAGCTTTGCTCATTCTATCCCAATCTGCTGGTGTCAAGTTTAAACTTGCAATGGCTTCAACCATGCTTACGGTAAAAGGGGCTTGAGGACCATAGGCTGCTACAGCTTCTTTTAACTGCTTTACAGTTTTAAAATCCAAAGCCTGGTGATATCACTGCCCTCCCACATCCTCAAGTACAGGGCATGCTAATCTTCAAGGTCCTGTCTCAGGATCCCATCTATCAACTATGGGGGGTGGGGGCCACCCAGCATATGTTGTCCCCATATACATAGGTGGAGCTGTTGGTTGAATACTTACGCCCTCTGGTGATAGAAAGGGGTTAGTATCAGCCTCCTGTTGTAACTCCTCCCCTGATAGCCCTTCCTCCTCTGAACTTTCTTCCCCTTTCTGACTAGCTCGAGAGACCACCTCTTTTACTTAATCTAAAATGTCTTCTCCTTCCTCTCCTATAGTCTGAACTGAAGGCTTTGGACTAAGCAAACAAGATCATATCAACGTCCATAATGGTAATGTGCTGACTGGCAGAGTTCCTGGGCTTTTCTATCTTTTTTAAATCTTCACCATGATGGTTCCATTGTGGTATATTTAACAACGCCTCCTCTAAGAACCATGGGCTACATTTTTGAATCATATCAACGTATGCCCTAATTGTTCTTGGTTTTACTGGGGTGCCTCCTTCCTTTAGCAATTTACTTAACACCCTTTCGGTTTGATTTTTACTAACTTCTAATCCCATATTTTCATAACAAAGACAACACAACACACTAAGATAACACAAACACACTGTATCAATAGATATTTTTCTATTTTCTTGAAATGGCTATCTGTCCTCTTGCCTATCTGTTCCTCAGGAAAGCAAGCAGCTTTCCTCTAGTCCTATTTATTTCTAGGGACAGGCAGCTTACCTTGTCACTTACCCC